CACTACGGAAGTAGGATTGCCCAACCTTCCTTCCGAGGAGTGGCTGGTGGGTTTGAACCGCCAGCTGTCTGGTTAGCAGGCAAGTGACTTAGCCACTATGCTACCAGAGCTCCCAGAGGGGATAATAAGAACTTTTAATCCAAAGATGATTCCTAAGAGGTGGAGGTCAAACATACCTCCATTCTCCAACTTTTTACTGATTCTGACTCCAGTCATCCTCTCAGTAGCACTCTTTACTTCTCTGCTGGGTTTGGTAATTCATTGCAATGACCACACAGAACTCACAGACCATACTCATGATCATGGGGTTTATAAGTGCGGTAACTCAGGATCAGGATCAACTTGGGAATAGCAGGAACAACTCAGGAGACAAGATACAGTTCATCAATCAGGACAGCTCCGTACTGAAATAGCTCTCAGCTCCTTCCTGGCTGTGCCTACAGGCAGGTGCACTTCTCCCTTAACGTGCTGGGCTACTAATCAAAGGATGGTGGCCCAGTCTATTCAGAGGTGCCTCAGAGAAAGGCCTGGTGATCTACTCCTAAAAAATCAGCCATGGAAAATCCTATGCAGCACAGTTCAACTCTGAAACACATGAGGTTGCCATGAGTAGGCGCCGACTCAATTTTTTTTTTTTTTAAATTACACTTCTAAGTGTAGGGTCTTTGGCAACACAAGTCGCATGCTCATGAAGCTAGAGGGTCAAAGAAAATTTTAATCTGGAGCTAACTGGAAAGCCGTCTCTTTCTAGTAAACCATGCTGGTTCAGATGACCAATTCATTTTTGTACACACTGAACTTGACAGTTCACTTCTTAATGAGACAAATTCTGTGTCACTGACAAAATGTGTATGTGGGATCTATGACTTTTCCCAGAAAACTGGAAATGCCCCAATTCTAACGTGAAAGAAGTTCTGGTATGTTGGGTTAGGAATAAACTACATTAGTGCCCTGCTATCAAGTGTATTTCATCGGTTTGACTCAAAGAAATGAATGTTGTTGTTATGTGCGGTCCAGTCGGACCGACTCATAGCGACCCCTCCTTGGGCTGCCAAGGCAGTATCACTACCGGAAGTAGATTGCTCAACTTTCCTTCCCAGGAGTGGCTGGTGGGTTTCAACCGCCAGCCTTCTGGTTAGCAATCAAGTGCCTTAGGCACTACGCTACCAGGGCTCCCGAAAGAAATGAATACCAAATTCAATTTTTAATTAAATATTGACATTCCACGTCAATCCCTACTACTCAAATTATGCAGGCCATGCCTAGGCTGGAGCCTGGTGGTGGAGAGGTTAAAACGCTTGATTGCTAACCGGAAGGTCTGGTCAGAGGTTCAAACTACCAACCACTCCACAGGAGAAAGCTGTGGCAGTCCACATCGGTAAAGATTTGCAGCCTTGGAAATCCTATGAGGCAGTTCTACTCTGTCGCATAGGGTCACTATGAATTGGAAACAACTCATTGGCAATGGGCTTGATTTTTTGATTTACCCTAGGCCAGCCTCTAGAAGGAGCTCTGGTGGCGCAGTGCCTAAAGCATTTGACTGCTAACCAAAAGGTTGGCGGTTCAAACTCACCAGCCACTCCGCGCAAGGACGACTGGGCAATCTACTTCCGAAAAGATTTATAGCCTCAGAAACTAAAAGACAAAAGCAAACTCACTGCCATGGAGTCACACTGACTCATAGCGACCCCTCCTTGGGTTTCCGAGGCAGTATCACTAGGAGAGTAGATTGCCCAAAGCGGGTGGCTGTGAGTCCCAGTGGGCTGGATGGCAGTGAGTTTGTTTTTCTTCCTAGCCTCTAGGGGGCAATCTCTTGGCCTCCCAATTCGCCGTGTCCTCTCTTTTCCTCCCTGGCTGGACTCCGCCCCACCTCTCCCTCCGCATTCTCTCTTCTGCTCCACGTCACCGCCCTCCTGGCCCTTCCTTCTCCCCCCGCAACTGCTTGGCGACCTCAGGCCCTGTCCTGCCCCCAAAGGCTCCGCCCCATCCCTCCCTTCCACGCCCACCACCGTGGCCTTGGTCTACAGTTCTCGCTCCGCCCCTTGTTCCCCGGTAACGGAAAAAGCCCTCCGTAGGCCGCTCTGGCCGCTTGGAGGACTTGTCTCTGTCTGGCGGCGCTGGGCGGCGGCGGGCGCTTCTGACGTGAGGCGCGTGGGGTTATCCTGGTGCAGTGCTCCCCGGCTCGGGGCTCTCGGGTGCTGTGGCCATGGGACCGGGGGAGGTGTGGAGACTCACGTCGAGGTGAGTGAACCGATTAGGGCAGGTTCGTTAGCGTCGTCTGCCCAAGTGGGAAGAGGGTTGAACGTGGGGACTGTCAGGACCCGAAGTTCCGAGGTGCCCACACCCCTTACTTTCTATCCCTCACCCCGTGCTTCCCAAGGCATAGCTCTGAGACTCGAGCCCAGGCCTGCCTCTGGGCCCGGAGCCCCCCGGGCCGAGCCCCTCGGCCATCCTCCGTTCCTTGCCCTTTCTCCCACCAGGACCTTGGTTGCGACACCACCTTCCTTTTTTGCAACTCTAGCTTTTACTTGGAGGCACGGCTTCCTCCCATTTCTTTCTTCAAAGTTGAGTATAATTTGGCAATTCGCAGAGATGCAACATAGAGGAACATATTTTGTGGTGTGTTTTGTGTAGCTAACAAACACACATACATTGTCAGTTACCTCCAGTTGTTGTATTTGTGTTCGTGGTTTGACGGTGTGACTTTATTGTTCAGCTTTATGGGATGGCTTCAGCAGTTAAAACAGGCATCGGGAACTTTCAGGCTAGTGTTGCGGACATTTACCGGGGCTTGCAGGGGTATGTGTATAAACATTGTGTTTAATTTTAAGAGTGCAACTTAATTCAGCTTGAGCTCAACAGAGGAAATCTGGTAGCAGTTATCTTAGAAAGGTAGGCTGGCACCAGTAGCAGTAGATAGCAGCTGTGGACGCTTGAAGGGGAAACGATGGTCCATTTCGACAAGTTACTGGGTTATTAGCTCTTTTGTATTTGCTTTGATGGGTCCTTGCATAGGGATGGGAGTGTTTCTTTGACACAAGAATGGCGGTTGCTTTCTGGGAGGCTATCTAGTTGTTCAACATTGTATCCCCAGATCTTGCTCTCAATAAATATTTGTTACCTAAATGAAGGATTGCGTTTTTTTCTTTTTCTTTTTTTTTTTTTTAAGACTTTGAAATTAGTTGTCCCTGCACCTCTAATCAGCTCATGGAGAAACTTGTAAATAATAAGATAAAAAAGACCAAAACCAAACTCACTGCTGTGGAGTTGGAGTCAACTCACAGCGACCCCTCCTTGGGTTTCTGAGGCGGTATCACTAGGGCAGTAGATTGCCCAGCCTTCCTTCTGAGAAGTGGCTGGTGGGTTTGAAGGGCCAGCCTTCTGGCTAGCCAGTCAGATGGATTAGGCACTAGGCTACCAGAGCTCCCAAATAATAAGTTCATGTAATCATTGCTGCTGCTCTTTTGAAGTTATGAGCAAAGATCAAATTATTTGAGAAACATTGTAGAGACATATTTTTTTTTTTAACAAAATCAACTTAATTGTAAAATATATTTTTTATTTCTACAGTTCAGCATGACTATATTCCATATAGCCATATTTCAAGATGTAGACTGATTAGGTGAGGCCTAGGTCAGTTTTGAGGAGCTCTGGTGGTGTAGAGTTTATAGATTCGGCTGCCAACCAAAAGGTGGGTAGTTTGAACCCACCAGCCACTCTGCAGGAGAAAAATGAGGCAGTCTGCTTTCATAAATATTTATAGCCTTGGAAACTCTCTGAAAAGTTCTACTCTGTCCTACAGAGTTACTATGAGTTGGAATCGACTCAGTGGCAAAAATAAAAAAGCAAACTCACTGCCATTGACTTGATTCTGACTCATAGCGACCCCCATTGGGTTTCTGAGGTGGTAAACCTTTACGAAATAGATTGCCCCATCTTCCTTCTGTGGAGAGGCTAGTGGGTTAGCAGTCAAATGCCTAAGGCATTGTACCACCAGAGCTCCTTAGCCATCATGGCAGTGGGGCTTCTTTTGGGTTGGGCCAGTTTTGGGTGTTCATCAGAGATGCCTTTCCCAGGGCAGGTCCTGAAATAAACCTGATGAAGCAAAGACCTGAGGGCAAAGTCATCAATACAATAAGCCAACCCACAAATATGTAAAGGGGTCGGGTACTGTGGGGAGTCTCTCTTGGGAAAAAAGACTTCTCTGCCCTGGTAGCACAGTGGTTAAAATGATCAGCTGCTAACTAAAAGGTCCGTGGTTCGAACCTACCAGCCACTGTGCAGAAGAAAGATGTGGCAATCTGTTTCTATAAAGATTATAGTCTTGGAAACCCCATGGGGGAGTTCTACTCTGTCTTGTAGGGTCTCTATGAGTCAGAATTGACTTGCGGCAGTAGTTTTGGGTCCAGGTTGGCATTGTTGGGCAATCCCTCCCTTTGAATTCTGGCCTTGCTTGGCTCTTCTAGCACTGTCTTGCTTTCCTGTTGCTTGTTTATCTTGTCTCAGTGCCAGTTCAGCCGTTGGAAATTGATCTGTTCTAAATAAATCAACCCTCACTTCGCTGAAGGTAATTCTAAAATTTGAAGGTTGGGCAGTCTACTTCCGGAGTGATACTGCCTCAGAAACCCAAGGAGGGGTCACTATGAGTCGGGTCCGATCCGTGGCACATAACAACAACCACCACCACCACCTTGATTTGACTGGGCAGTGTTTCATTTTGTTGTACACAGGATTGATATGAGTCAGAGCCAACTTGACAGCACCTCACAACAACAACAACATTGATTTACCCTGAGCTCTAGTGCTAGTCATGACCATCTGGATGTCTCGTTTGCATCTCAAATTCATGTGTAAATCTTGCTCCTCGTCCACACTTTCTCTCAATTTCTGTTCCTGGTCACTATCATTCCTCTATATTCCTACAGTTTCCCAAGTCCTCCTACACACCTATCACTTCCTGCTGAGCCAAATGTGAACAATCTCAAGTGTATCACTTGTTGGTTTTGCAGAAACTTGATTTATGAAATCGCACCCCCCCATTTGAATAGATTCTGCACATGATTAATCTTCCTAAAATCTACTTCAGGTCCATTCCTCTTCTTAGAAACTCTCAGAGGTGCCCTCCTGCCTAGAGAATAAATAAAAATTCCTAGCTGGGTTTCAAAAGATTTGGCCCCAATTTACTTCATGAATTCAACAATACTTGCTCTGTTCTAGGTGATGGCACGACTGTTCATGCATTTGACTGCTAACCAGAAGAATTCTGCTGTCCTGTAGCAGATCTGGACTACTTGATGTTCTTACTGTTTATTCCTTATGCGTCCTTGAAATCTGAAAGGAGAGAAGACATGAAACATTTAAACAAAAGTAATATTTAGTTACCTGTAACTCTGATAAGTGACTCAAAGGGAAAATACAGTTATGATAGAGCTGAATTTAGAAGTACCTAATCCCCCTCCCGCAAATTTTTGAGATCTAAAAGTTAATATCAGATTTCAAGTAATAACTGACTGAATTACAAATGGAAACTTTATGGTTATTTAGAATCGGACAAGGAACTTAGTTATGCTTGTTTTTTTTTGTCCAGAGACTTTTGTGACCAAAAAGGTCTTGCACAGTGCTTTACATCTGCATTTGGTAGGTTTGCATTAACTTTCTTTGAGTGAAATACAAATTCTATCTCAGAAATTAAATAGGCACTTGAAGCTAGGTCTTTCTCTGTTCCTCTGTTTACTCATTATGCTGCAGGTAGTGCTTCAGCTGTTAATAAGACTTGTCCATCTGGCAGCACCTTCTTTAACCATGAATTGGGATTTATTACTGGCTTTATTAAGGAATTCAAAGTCATTCTGGATCTAAAGAAATTTATTTTTGTCATTCCTGGGATAGTAGACCATGTGATTGCCTGATTAAAATGGCCCAAACCAGTGCATTTCAGCTCACTGATGCCTAGGAGACTGATCTTTATGCTTTCTGTTTCATTTTTGACAACTTGGAATTTTCCTGGATTCATACTTAGTATACTCCACATTCTGATTATTAATGAATGTTTGGAGCTGCTGCTTCCCATTTTGAGTCATGCCCCATCAGCAAATGAAGGTCCTGAAAGCTTTGCTTCATCCCCATCAGTAAGGTCAGCTCTACTTTGAGGAGGCAGCTCTTCCCCAGTCTGTATGGAGTACCTTCCGATCTGAGGGGTTCATCTTCCCACACTGTATCAGACAGTGTTTCACAGCTCTTCATAAACTTTCCCAGTAGTATATCAGACAGTGTTTCACTGCTATTCATAAGGTTCTCAGTGGGCTGTTCTTTCAGAAGTGGATGGTCCTGTCCTTCCCAGTCTGTCTTAGTCTGGAAGCTCTGCCGAAACCTGTCTACCATCGGTGACCCTGCTGGTACTTGAATACTGGTGGCATAGTCTCCATCCTCATAGCAACGTGCAAGCTACCACAGTATAATGAACTGACAGATGAGTGCTGGACATATTGAATAAATATGGTGAAAGTTTACAACTTTTCCTGATTTTAAATCACACAGTATCCCCTTGTTCTGTTCCTACAACTGCCTCTTGGTCTACCTACAGGTTCTCATAAGCACAATTATGTATTCTAGAATTCCCATTCTTTACATTTTACCTACTCTTCATTTACTGACTATCTCTTTATCTGATATTTCACATTTAACGAAAGTAGTGAAAAACATCTATCCTACTAATGAGGCAGTTAGGATAGAAGTAGTAGGAGCTCTGGTGGTGTAGTGCCTAAGGCATTTATTTGACTGCTACCAGAAGGCTGGCGGTTCAAACCCACCAGCCACTCATCGGAAGGAAGGTTGGGCAATCTGCTTCTGTAGTGATACCACCTTGGAAACCCAAGGAGGGGTCGCTATGAGTCGGGTCGGACTTGACGGCAGTGAGTTTTTAACGAGGCAGTGGGCATGGCATCAGTCGCTGCAGAGCATCCTCTCCCTGGAGGAGGGTCTCCAGGCAGATTCTAGGAAGTTGCGCTTCGCTGTTCATGCCCTTCACTCCTCCGGCTGGTGGGGATGCCGTGTCCAGTTGCAGTGCAGGGCTGGCCTCTCCTCGTGGGCCTAGCCTATGGACGATGCACAGGCAGTAAGTATGGAGCCAGCAAGCACCGGTTCTGGTTCCCCAGCTCCTAGTCAACCTGAGGCCTGTCAGCTTAAAATTATTGTGGAACGGGAAGGGAGGAAACAGGAAAGAAAGAGCCATCAGAGAGGGTGTTTAGAAGAAATGTATGTGCATTTTATGACATTCCAAAGTGAGCCAACTGAGCCTAAAGCCTCTGCCTTAGTGGCACTGGGTGCATGGCCAGGTTCCCAGTGCCCTCACAGGAAGTCCTGAGTCTTGGTGACTTGCCAGGCCCAGAGGCAGGGTTTACAAGGTGGGAGTAGGGCCTGGAGACAGCTCCAGAAAGGAAGCTCTGACCCAGCACAGTATAAAGGTGTGCCCTCCAGTCACATAGCCCAACTTTATCCAGTGTTGTCTCCTACAGACCTCCTTCTCTGCAGATGAAGAATCTACAACTTGCCTGGTGACCGTGATGAGCATATCAGTAATTTTTAGTTGTTTTTATTTCTATTATCATATTTTCTAAGTTAAAAAAAGCACACAAATGGATGGTCTGAAATTGCATAAAGGTGATTTTTGTATAACCACCTGGTCATTGGAACCTAACTATGTTGATAAGTGAGAAGTGGGTGTATTTGGTTTTAAGAAGACTTTAGGAGATATTTTGGTTTAAGGTTTAAAGATTATTTCAGGGTAATAGTTTCAGGGGTTCATCTATCCTCTATGGCTCCAAAAAGTCTGGAGTCTATGAGATTTTGAAGTTCTGTGCTGCATTTTCCCCTTTTGATCAGGATTCTTCTATAGACTCTTTGATCAAAATGTTCAGTAATAGTAGCCTAGCACTATCCAGTTCTCATGACAAAGGAGGTAAGTCTTCATGGAGGCCTTTATCTACACATTCCATACATATCCTCTTCTTATTCCTAACTCTCCTTCCTCTGTTCCTCCAGGAGAATTGAGTCAAATTGTTGCACCATTGTAATACTTTCTAAAAGAAGCTACAGAGAAAACGAATATAGTATTTGTAAGTTGAAACATAACTGCTCACATTGCTATGTTCATTGTATTCTACTTTTCTGTTTCAGATTTAATTCATTCAAAAGGACTCATATCATATTGCAACATTTGGTAAGTTTGGACTTTGTTTTGCTGGCATTATTGGATTATGATGTGTAACTTTTATTTATTTATTTATTTTTTAAATTTTATTTTGATTTGGGTGAAGATTTACAGAGTAAATTCACTTTTCATACAGCAGTTCACATATACTTT